ACCCGGCTCTCAAATCAACCCCCACACTTAACACGTTTAAACGTAAACTCAAGCATTTCTTGTTGAATACCTACGACATCCATGATACCTAAACACGTTACACCTAACATCTGCTTTTCATTCCTTTCACTCTCTACCACCGGTCAAAGACGACTTTATCCCTATGCTAATTCTTCCCTGATATATCTGCCCCTCCCTTTAGCTCTCTCCCTTTTTCTTTTCTTTCCCCCTTATTCACAACGTTCTCACTTGTCCCATGTATATTCTTTTTGTATTGCTTCTTTTTTCTTCTTCTTTTTTCTTCTCGTTATTCATCTTTCCTTACGTACCTGTTCTCTTTTCTGAATTGTTTTCCTTGCAATTATTCTTTTTCTCCACGCGAGTAGTGCTTAAATAAGCACTGATTATTTTATTTAATATATATAAATATTTGTTTATGCTGAGGAAAGCACAGAACGCTTCCTTTTTTCAATTGTTTATGATATTTTTCGTAAAATGTGTCACTTAAAGATAACCCTCGTGTAATCATATGCTTTTGTAAATATGTTATTTCAAATACCCTTATTTATACACAAACCTATGAACCGGGACCTCATAATACAAGCTTTGCTTTTTAGTAGATCCCCCACTTTATTGATTGATTTATATGATTATATTCTCTGTTATAACTATTATCATGTACATTATGTTTTCTATATTGTATGTTTAGTTATAATAATTACCATTGTTCATTATGTTCAATTATGTTATTTTTGATAAAGTGAAATAAATAAACTTGAAACTTGAAACAGCCCTTTTGAAAATTGAACTGTCTCGTGAACTTTTGTACTGGATACACCTCTTTTCAAACAATAAAGGGGGCTAGCCTATTTTTTCTGACAGCCCACAATTCAAAACATCTTTCCTAATACACATATAATAGGTACAATGTAGTAGAGTACTGTTTACATGATGGAATGATACATTATCATTCTCCAACAAATACATTGCTATCCAAAGTTGGAATGGATTTTCTTTGACCTCTGTTCATTATGATTTATACTTGATAGAGAAGTTTTGAGAAGATATAAACTTTATTTATCAATTATCTATCTACTGTCACAATCAAATAAAAAGTAAATATTCAAACTTTTTGGGAAACAGTGTAACCACAATTTGGATTAGTTATTGTACTGACCTTTTCCACCATGATTACCTATTATTTGTGATGCTTTATATATGAAAAAAAGAACCTTCGGCTTTTATTGTAAGATGTTTTGTATTATCTATAGATAAGCCAATACTCATACAATACTACAATCCTAATAACACGATATGCACTTAAACTTATATGTCGGGAACACAGAAGGACATACGTCAGAGTTTCAAATTTCTATACCAAAAAAAAACTTAAACAAGAAATCGTACAATCTTCAGAACGACGCACTTAGGTGTTAAGAATTCTTTTATATATGACCATAATGACCTTACATACATGAGTGTAGGGCTGAATAATGGTCTTTACTATTTATTGAGATATAGAAACTGCTGACAAGCCCTGCCAAGATCTTTTTCTCACGACTGTAATTTGTCATAATTGCCAATATAGAGAGATGTTTTTTGAGTTATATTGCATTCGAATGAGTGGGAAAATAAGCAAACAATTAAGAAATTGTATCTTTTTTTATTACTGTAAGTATAACAATACTAGTTCAGAAAGAAACATTAATATCTTAATTTTTGGCTCTGTTATTTGTTGGTTTTACACTTTAGTTTCATATCATAATTAGTATCGTTATTCATAATGTCATTGATCTTTTATCATAAAGATAGATTTGATATTTAGACATTCATGCGAATTACTCGGGATGTCACGGTGTGATGCTTTTCATGCCAGAATCTACCACAAGCACGAGATACGCCTACATTATTTTGTTTATTTCAGTCATGTTTAGAATGTGAATCGTGCAATAGGCAGAAGTAATAATAAGGAGAAATGAATGCCCATATCCAGAATAAAAGTGCAGTTGCGGCGTTTTTTTTTGTTTGTTTTTTTGTTGTTGCTTTCTTGCACGTTCACGGCAAGCATAGTTAAGGATTTGTGTCGTCCATTCATTCTCTCTCTCTCTCTCTCTCTCTGTTCCCTTTTAATATGAATAGTGAACAAGGTATGCTGATCACGGTCGCAAAATATTAATTGAATCAGACTATCGAAAAATCAACCTAAGGCAATTTCATTGGCCTTGTTTATCCCCTGTTGAAATGTGCGAATATTAATAATATGACTTATAACATAATCCGAACATGAAGAGGAAACTAAAATGGCCATTAGCTCGCATTTCTCAACAGTCTTTGCCATCGTGTATACTATTTAGTCGTTCTATTGCAAGTAACGACTGGGTAGATTTACTTATCTGTCTAGGGGGTAGAAGTAGTACATTTCAGTTATCTCAAATTTGGAAATTTGCTCTTTGATAGATTGCTTATCAATCATGATATTGGGATAGATTTTGTGTTCCGAACGATTTGTGCATGCAAATGTCTTTCAAGATACAAGATACACGATACAAGATATTTTATTTGGTCTTTGCAAACAAGTTACATAGAAAATTGTTTTCCACTGGCGTTACAGTCATATTCAACAAAATACATAATTACAAGAAATAAATACATCACGTTTATACAATGAAATAGATGAAATGAGGAACAAATCATTGCAAAAGATAATGAAGCGACAAAAATGGTCATTGGTACATGTACTTCATATCATGAGTTTCAGAATTAAGCCTTGGTCATTGGTATTTCAAATCATACAATTAATTTCCGACGCAGAAGTTTAACGTTTAACCTGTGAGTTGAATTTATGAACAGAGTCGGGTACAAATGAATATCTGAATCGTGAAAGCCGGGTGGGATAGGGGCGAAGTCGGATACCAGAACGATTAAATGAATAAAATAAATGAAGTGGATGGGTATTGTCTTTCATGATTGCACAGACCTTATCAACAATTTGCTCAGTTCAATGAGACTCGACAGAAGCTAATTCTACCCCAATTATGCGTTGTGCTATTTTACGTGGCCTTTCCAATTTCTTCTTGTCCTGTTTTGAGAGATTGCCAAATGAACAAATTTCATATTGTATTAAGCAAATAACGTACTCTTTAAAATGATCCAGCCTTTCGCATCGCATTATTATATACCTTACACAACAATACACCAAAAGGATCACGATATTAAGCCGGCACTAGAATTTCATTTCAAATTTAACACCTATAGAAGCATTTAAAATAACTAATCCGCTTGCACGTCAGCATCAATGATTTTTTTTTAATAAGCAAAACGCGTACGCAGAACCAAGTAACCCTTTCGAGACGGTCATTCCACTATTTGTGTTTAGGCTTTATAACTTTGGCTTCAGATCTCTAGAAAAGATTACCAGATGCATGAGTAGAACAGGTAACAAATTCTGCACACGATATGTCCTTGCTCGTTGAATGACCATATTGTATTTGATGCCAGGAATTAAAGGCAGCAAAGTATGTTTTAAACATCCTTAAGTGGGCAACACATTAAAGGGTTCAAAACTAAATTGACAATTTGTCAACTTTCCAAGAAAGGTTCTACCCGTGTATATTGTTTTCAGAGACATTGCATGTTAGTAAAACAATGCAGGTTTAGAAGCAAAATGTTATTTTGATCAATATACATACATATGATCAATTTAGCCCTTAATAATTTCTGTCTTTAAAAGGGTTACGGCCAGGGACGCATTATACAAAAATGTGTTAAAAACACACACAAAAAGAGTATGCAAGCCTAATAGAATATTGATTATCTTTAAATAATGAGCAGGTGTCAAAGTGGTAGAACAAAAAATACAGTTTTCTCACGTACCTGTCTGGGTTTTTTTATTAAGAAAATTTGTAAAACAGATGTGACTGTTAAAAAAAAATCGTTGTTGAGGGAAACACTTGAAGAGAAGGTTGAGTTCTGGAACAAGGTGAAAAATAATTTGTGACCGATTTCATGGTTATTATGCAAGTGTGGAAGAACATCAGAGGAAAAAAAATAAACGTTACCTAGGCTCAGTTAAATACGAAACATGTCAAGCATATTTGTAAATGCATTATCATTAATCTGATCTACTACAAATATTTGACACAAGAGTACTAGAAATAATAACTAACATGACTTGAAATTTCTATTGGGCAAGTTACGGGAACCCCGTGTCTGCGCACCCAGGTTTTAGCAAGTCTTTTCTTTATCATTACTTTAATACTTGAGCTTATTAAAACAGTAAGTGTGTAAAAAGAGTCACCGAATTTTTAACAAGAAACATTGTCATTTTCACGAGAAAAGACCATCACGTCATATTGACGTTCAAAAGCAGAAGTTTCCCATTTTTTGCACATTCGATTTATACGCAATTTGGGATTTTCGTCATCAAAGATGGACATTAAAAGAGAACTTGAGGAAATTCTATTTTTCTGAAGTGTTTACATGATCATACCGAGGTTATAAGAAATTAAGTCGTGTATCTTCAAAACATTATTTGCGTCAAAGAGTTCATGAGTATGAGCGCAGAAATTGGCATGAGATGGAAATACAATTTATCTTGTTCAGAATACCAATTTATTTTTAGAGATTATTTCAAAAACATAATTAACATGCAGCTTATAAGAGACTTGTGTTTAATAGTATTATCAAGTCCAATATTTCTTGGTAAGTTATCAATAATATAACTAAATAGCATATAATTTTTTTGTTTTGTAAATTCGATAACAATTTATTTGCCTTGATCCAGTCAGCAACTACTCGTAATTGAGAGTTAATCGTTCTGAGTAAAATGTCTGGGTCTTGATTAGAAAAGTCGTCAGCAAACAAAATGAGAGACAGGGTTGTTCTGGACATGTCAAATTCATTATATACAATTAAATACAATATATGCGAAAATAGCATGGATAATTGTGTTGTATGCTAATGTTGATAATGTACTGAAATGTAATAATGGCATGAAGCGCTTAAATCTGCGTCAAACCACACATCAGTCCAAATCCAGCTATTAGACAAGTACATTTCAGCAGCCGATCATCTTTCCCCGCTAATTCAACAGGGAGAAGTTCCACAAACGTCACAAACATAAATGTCCCAGTGGCTAAACCTTGTAGGATACCATTGACTAATAGAGCATCAGCGTTGACGGACGGATCAGCGAGTGGAATGCCGATACCGATGCCGATTGGGGACGTGAGAGAGAAGATGACGAGGCTACTCCACTTGAGAACATCCCGTCCTGGTAGTTGAGCGAACCGAAGAAGAACGGTGAAACTCTCGATGCCCTTATGGATAGAGATGGCAATCAACAGGTCTATGGTGTCCTGCTCCTCAAGCTGAAGACCAAGGGCTAGCCCTTCGAAGAGGCCGTGAAAGGAGAGTGAAACAAGGAGGACGATGGCTCGGAAGGAAGTGAGGGGCTGGAGGTCGTCCAGGCCTCGTTGGACGGTAATCGATGCTTCGCTTTGACACTCTGAAGGCGATCGTTCACGCAACGCCCCGTATTCGCCATGGCCATCGGTGTCCGACTCTCTGGTTGTGGACTTCACCAGGTGAGATGTGTCAGATGCGGTATTATCAGTTCTCTCTGAGCTCTCCAGGCACCACATCATCAACTGTTCCACGAACACAACGAACAGGAAGCCCACACCAGCCGTGAAGCCAGCCCAGTCGAAACCCATGGCCATTCCGCCCCCTTCTACTTCACCGCCGTGAGTGATGTTCAGCGCCTTGTCGAAAATCATCCTCACATCTGGAAGGAGATGAACGAGTGCGATGCTCAAGAATATTCCAGCCGCGGCTGAGTTTAGTAGACTGATAACACGTCTTGTGATGGCGCTTTCTGCCATTCCTTGCGAATGGGATCTGATACAGCATAGTGGTATTAATCCTCCAACAAATGCTAACACAAAGAGCAATCCAATACCTAGGCCTTTCAGAGCAACGATATCCATCCTCTTCTAGTTCAGAGTGCTCAGTTTTGTGTCAAGATCGAAAAGAGTCCTTGCGTCGAATAGTTTAGTTCAAGTAAGGCATTAGTTTAGGCTGGCTTGCTGTAAACGATTGAGTCGTTTATCCATATCGATCCTGTTTATATGATATACACCTTCATTATATTGAGCAAAGCACGCGTATACCTGAAACGTAGCAGAAACACAAGCGTACAGTATTACTGCAGTGTGGGTCCTGTGATTCGCGAAGTACTTAGTGCTCTGATCAGATCGATATCTCAGCACAGCCTACCGCAGGTTCGACTATATATAGTTCGATCTCCACTGATAAAACAAGAGCAAAGAGTTTAAACTTGCAGACTATATCACTCACTAAACCAACAACAGAGCGCTCCACAGAACGAAATAATACCATATTGCAATATTCAATTGTTATTGTCCTTGTACAGCTAGGGTCACAGTCGAGTCACAGATTGCAGGTAGATGCACATGCCTTTAAAACGTCACGTTGGGAATTATAACAAGTGTTCTTGCGCCGCATTGTGAGGGTACGGATGACAGACAACACCCGGTTATGACAGACTAATTGCATGCGTGATTGAACCCAAACATTAACGTGCTGCATACAGGGCTTTGACAGGTTAAGAATAACGAGTAAACTACAATATTTGCAATGTTTATCGTAACGTGCAAGTATAGCGGCCATTCGAACTGTTGAGTTATGATTACATAGGTCATTACAAAAAAGATTTTCTGATATAACATTTCCTTACTAGCCTGTTAGCCGGATCGCACCACGCGATTGACTAGATATGTGCATGCATTATTTTGTTTACATACAGCACTTAGCTGCAGGGGCAGATTCAGGGTTGCCCGAAAGGGGGGGGGGGGGGTATTCTTCATATTCATATTTTCAGGAAATCCCGTGGGCGATCTCCAAGCGAAGATGCAAATCAGACAAATCTCCGACAAAAAGACAATTCTCTCATTTTCCTGGCTTTTTCTAAAGAGGGGGAAGGTAAGCCCGTTGGAAATAATTTTTAACGTTTTTAAGAGAGATATTCGACAACATTCTCGATTCTCGATTTTCGAGGGCTGACAAATAAAACAAAAATTTGGGTCAATAACCACTGGTTGTCATAAAACACGACACATAAGAAAGGATAAAGGATAAATTCCCGGCCAAATAACCCAAATAACCTCTGAATAACGAACCGAAGTTTCCCTCGAACACAAAATAGTAGGGACTTTTAGATTCGCACGAAGACAATGGGGATTGCTACGATCGACGTCCTTTTAATGCACTGCTTTGAATAGACGTCACAAGTATCAGTCCACGCAAATCTAAAAGTCCCTATTGTTAACGAACTGCAACCAGGTTCTTTCATTGTTGTAGCGCTTTTTAGCACGGGCTCCCTGGATTCCATGACACCGGAGATAATCACACTATGAACATGACGGACAAAGAAAGAGGACAAAATATACAGTTCCTCATCCTACCCTCAATAATTGCTGTGGTAGACAAAGGAATATCCCTTCACTACTATTATATAAAAATGTGTAGAACAGGTCAATATGCATGTGACACCTTTTCTACACATTTTAACATAATAGCAGTGAAGGGATGTTCCTTTGTCTACCACAGCAATCGTTGAGGGTAGAATGAGGAACTATATATTTTGTCCTCTTTCTTTGTCCGTCATGTTCATAGTTTCAATGGCGTACGAGGCGGAAAAAGGAGGGATTGGAAATGGTGTCGCTCACATCCCCACCTACCGAGAGTTTTGAAAGTATACACCTTAATTTTGACCAACCTCAAACCATAGTCGAGCATTTAAGTGGTTGGGCCAATTTTATGTCTTAAGTTGTATATTTTAAAAGCCTGAATAACATGTTAATAAAAAAAAATGTATTCAATTTGGGTTAGTTTAATGTGGAACTTGATGTAACTCAATAATCCCTTTCCCTACACGTGTTATAGGGCGTGTTTATGCTTCACTTTTTCTGGCCAGAATCAGGCATCTGTTACGCGTTTAGTTTAAAACACGGTTGCGTCCATGCTCACTTTTGTAGAATCACCGAAAAACGGCGATCACGATCGCCGATCGTAAACTCACAAAAAGATGCGTTTACAATTTGTAAACGCGTTTAAATGGGGTCAACGCACTGACCTCTAGTGGGTCTACGTAGCATGCACAGTAAAGGTTTGCGAATCCAGCTGGAAGACCAATTAAGGCCACACAGGGATAATTGCCTGGAGGAGCCAGAGAAGTGAGCATAAACAGTACACCGTGGAACTACGATTACGATGAGCGTTTACGATGAGCGTTACAAATCGTTCATTCTGCCTTTAAAATTTAAGCTTAAACGCACCCATAGACAATTATAATCCATATCTTGATCTGAATTCATGTTACTTTTAGCCATTTTTAATAATTTGAATTTTTATATTTTCCTTTCTTTCCTTTTCTTTTACTTTGTGTAAATGACTTTTTTGGGAATTTAAAAGTTGCTTTCATCACTACCATATACTTTTTAAATATCTTATATCCTATTTTGTATTATTTTGTATTGGCGGCACCTGTTGTGAAGCAGGTCTTTTGTTGCTCTGAGTTAGACTACCCTGGTTTTTTTTAAACACAACAATCCTTTTATCTATTTATGTCCCATAGATTTGATGCCGTTGGGGCGATAATTAAATGGACGTCGAGACACAGGTTATCCATAATTTTCTGTAGTTTGCTGCTCAAATGACATTTCCATCCACTGCTTGATGTTATCTGTCCATATCCTATTAGGTCTTCTTCTCAATCTTCTCCCATTGGAGAATAAATAAATTAATAAATAATGAATAATAAGTAGATATTTCTGCCTTTTCGCTTCACTCATCCACAAATTAACTCTTACTTGTCATATACGTCCCCGCCTTTCTCCGTTCGATCTGCAAAAATCATGCATTTTTGTTCACCATAGTTTAAACATTGGAAAATGTTTAACATGAATAAAGGTAGTTTTAGAAGCACAGGAGGAATTAACTATTTTCTCAATGGAGACTTCCAGTATTGGCAAACTAAAATGTCATTTGTTTAAAGTCTTCTTTAATTAATTTCTTGGCACTTCCCATATTGACAAACTGGCATCCAATTTTTTTCAAAAATCTTGGCCTTCATCTCATTTTTCTTTATTTTTGCTCCCGCTCAAAACAAAATTCACCCTGAAAACGCATGTAACAAACTACTTGTACATTACCTTTACATCAACAGCAATTTACATCAATTAAATTACTATGGCTTGTTGGGTGTTTTCATCAGATTTGAGACTTAACTGAAATGTCAAATGAATAATTGAACAAAATGGGAGATGCATTAGTTTAATCTAGGCATCCTTACCCTGAAAACGCATATAACAAACTACTTGTACAATACCTTTATATCAACAGCAATTTACATCAATTAAATTACTATGGCTTGTTGGGTGTTTTCATCTGATTTGAGACTTAACTGAAATGTCAAATGAATAACCGAACAAAATGGGGGATGCATTAGTTTAATCTAGGCATCCTTACCCTGAAAACGCATATAACAAACTACTTGTACAATACCTTTACATCAACAGCAATTTACATCAATTAAATTACTATGGCTTGTTGGGTGTTTTCATCAGATTTGAGACTTAACTAAAATGTCAAATGAATAATTGAACAAAATGGGGGATGCATTAGTTTAATCTAGGCATCCTTACCCTGAAAACGCATATAACAAACTACTTGTACAATACCTTTACATCAACAGCAATTTACATCAATTAAATTACTATGGCTTGTTGGGTGTTTTCATCAGATTTGAGACTTAACTGAAATGTCAAATGAATAATTGAACAAAATGGTGGATGCATTAGTTTAATCTAGGCATCCTTACCACCGGTGAAGGCGCCAATGTTTGATTAGATTAAAGATTTAGATTTCTAGATTGTTTCTAGATTATTCTAAGATGCCAGGCTGTCTAATGTATTATAGATGGGGGAAATACCTGAGATGTTAGTAATAGTAAGATAAAGTAAGATTTATTCGGTCATCTTCTTTGTTTGATTTTTTGTTGGGGGGGGGCAACTTAGGAATTGTTGGAATGAAGATAATTAATTACGATGATGTTGGTGATAATTATGATGATGATGATGGTGATAATAGAAATTTCAATGAGAGTGATGATGATAATGATAATAATCATGATGATGATAATGATTAAAATAATGACAAAGGTCTTTTTATGGTAATTCACACTGCGAAAATGTGTTTCAAACTGACAGAGAATCAAATGGCAAATACAATAAGCACGAGATGACGGTGTCGTATCTTTCATGATGCTCCAAATTTTAGAAATTTTAGAATCTCGTCATGATAATCCTCACTACGTTGCTTCAATTGTAAGCTGAAAGATTCCCTTTAATAAAAGCATACGTGTAACAATATAGCCTTTTATCCTCCTCTCTCTTTCTCTTTCTCTCTATCTCTCGGTCGCTCTTTTACTCTTCATCTCTCGCTCTCTCCCTCTCTTAACAAGCTTTCAAGTTACAGGTTTTCATTGTTCCCCTTTAAATTCCTCTAAGCCCCTCCTCATTTTAATGTAACTATTGTTTTTTTTTTTTATTCTAATTCTTATATTCATATAATTATAATTTAGTGCCTCTTCTTAATATCCAAACTTCCATGTTTTGATCGCTGTTGTTGGTTATAATACATTGCAGCACATGTCTCTTCTTCTCTCGATGCTTCTTCTCATAGTTTATAAAATAATATCTTGATTACTTCCCCCTTTTTTCTTTACCATTTTAGACAACGAATAGTATCAAATGAAAGCATTTAAATAAAGAGTTATCGTTTCTGTCATTTGGACTAAACACATTGGGTAATACTACAGAGTACAAGGAAAGAGAGGCAAATATAAACACTTAAAATGAATACATGTAATCTTTATTTGGCTACTCTATCATCACTAGTCACTACATATGACTCGTTGATACAATTTAAATGCAAGTAAACATTTTACATTATGTGAATTCATGCGATGTAGGCCCCGAACAAAAGCTAAATAGGACGAAGTGCACTTACATTAAGAATGATGCAAAGTTTGTCCATGAATTGAATCGAATTTGAAAACGAGAAGTTTAGAATCATGCCAAGATTTTTCTAAATATTCCCACGCATAACCTCTGATGCCAAATCTGTTTATAGAAAGAAAAATATACGAGAAAACGTCCAAATGTGGGGGCGGGGGACGGAAACCTGTCTATTAACATAAGTGTATGGGGACAATTTCGCCATAGGGGCTGACCTCTTTTGTCGAATATCAACTATCCAGTCTGTAAACAAAAATTGTCTGGACCTTTTGTGCAGATGTGTTTTCGTCATCAAACTATCGTGAATAATTGGTTTAAGAATTAGACCACTTCGCAGCCTAATCATACGGTTGCCCGAATATTGGTAAATTACAGAAAAAATTTGAGGCGAGATGCAGCAGCCTCTTAACTCCTCCCCTCCCACCATATAATTTGGTAAAGTTATAAAACTGGTTTTATTTGTGGAATATATGTACATTTGCAAAGCGCCATTTCCCCCTCTTCTGTTAATGTTCACGAATCTTGATACTTTCTAAATATGCATACATACATTTTTTTTATATAAGTAAAAGATTTGAAATATAAAACATTGTGACATTTCGCAATGAAGTCTCACCAGAGAGAGAGAGATTTTTTAAACAGATAAAAAGAGACTAAATGACTTCAAAATCATGTAATTGAGAGCAAATATTATTTGGTATAAGGCCTACCAATTTGTGACATTTTTGGGCAGTGTTAAAGATTACATAGTCATCATTTCTTTAACACATATATACATTGGTATGTCTGACTGTATTTATATCGTATACAGAGTCATGTAATTAACACTTTTGTTGATTTCGGCAGGAAAAGGGGACTCATAATACATACAAGTTCGTATATACATGTACATGCAATTACTTGTAGTAACATTAATATTACTATGGAAAGGGAAATCTGGTATATAAACTTTGTAAGAAAATTGTATTGAAAAAATAACTGAAGGATATTACAGTGAATAAAATTAGAGAAATGTTATACCTTTTGCATGACGGACTTAAGATCAAGTTACATATTGACTTTTTTATTCATGAAATTTAGGTACATACTTCACGTACTACAATCTATACATGTGTATATATGCGTGTACATACAGTTAGCAACTGTTAAATTTTGTTTGTGTTTTTCATAACACAATAATGAAAGGTGGATTGATTGAACCAGGTCCTTGGTTGAATTTTGTTTAATGTGGGCTTTAATATGTCATATTAAGGTAATGGTAAGGACATTTTTATTTGATAACTATATGTATATATGCACACCCCCCCCCCCCAAAAAAAAAATAAAAAATAAATAAAATAAATAAAAATAAAAATAATAATAATAAAAAAATTTAAAAAAAAATAAAAAATAAAAAAAATAATGAGAAACAAATGTTGAAAAGATTTGTTTCAAAGAAAATATATAAAAGCTGTGTAGATTACAATTTGTTTTAACGGAACAAGGTGTGGGAGTTTTCCACATTAACCAGTACTTAAGACTTGATATACAAATATATAAATGTCATGTTCATACACACAATCATATAATAATAACTACATTTTTGATAATAACCGTAATAACAAAAATAATGATAATAACAATGATAATTTTAAAATGGAGCATTTTTGGTTCCGCCGTTCATATGGTTCATTAGGACATACATGAAGGTATTTAAACACAAAATCTAAATGAATCTGTACAATAGGTCGAAAATATTCATGGAAATAAATAATAACATATCAGGGCCCTGTGTCATAAACTTTTTCATCAACAAGTGCGGAAATTCATTGTCAAATTTGTTCAAAATCAATCAAATACAGTAATTTCAGTAGCTTACAACATTTATTGAAACTTGTTAAACATAATACAGTTGATGAAACAGGTAACTGGTGTTAAAATGGCTAAAAGAATAGTGTAATCAGTAATCTAGTAATCAGATATATTTAAATTTCTTCATTGGTTATCAGTCTTAAAAAGACTCATGTATAAGCTGTTACTCATTGCCTACAGAACAATTCTTCATTCTTTACCCCATTTCTTGTATCACATTTTGCAACCGTACACCACAACGGAATTTATGTTCACCTTCACAGCTCCAGTTAAGTACACCCACAACTTATGGAACACTTTACCATTACATATAAGACAATCATCAATAGAAATATTTAAGAAGAAACTTAAGCACCATTTGTTTATGACGTAGTTTTAATATTATGTTTATGTGCATGCGTGCGTTCGTGTGGGTGCGTGTGTGGTGAGAGTATGTGTTCGGTGTTTTTGTGTGTGTGTTTACTGTCTATTGGTAAAACCACATGATAACAATAATTGATTCATGTATGATGATAACGTGTATAAATATGTACTTAAATATACATGCAAATATTAGATCAAATTAGAAAATATCAAACACTTACATTCTCAAGATTTTTTAAAAATAAATATAAACATGTATTCTATTTCAAAATTTTCGAAAATGAAAAGTTTCGCGTCACGCCATTCACATAGTTTTCACTGAATAATACTTTTGCATTACTCTAAAACACGCCAAGTACCATGTACACACCTACAGGCAAAATCGTTTCTGGTTGTTGCGAGCGAGTGACACTATAACCACAACACTAGATAAGATATAGAGTAATGTATGTAGGCATCACGCATGAATATCAGGAAATTCGGGCATCTAGTTGTCCGAATTTATGCTCTTTGAAAAATATTGCGAGCGAGTGAAGCGAACGAGCGGTAAAAATGTAATTTTGATATACACGATGTGAATTATATTCGGGCACCTACACGTAGCTGTCAAAGAGAATGGTATTCGGATACTTCAAAATATAAAGATATTCAGGCACTTCGGTGCTTGAAATCACCTCTTCTAAATAATACTATATCCTCATAAAATAACATATTCTAGTTGTTTCTAAAATGTTGTGAACATTATTGGAAAACCTTTTTTGATACACCTACATTTCTTTCGTGGCACCTCTAGAGATGTCTTGTAGCACCCCAGGGCGCTGAGGCACCCCGGTCGAAAAAAACGCTGCTGTACAGGTTGAATTACTTTAACACAGCGTATAACTTTTGCAAGACCTCGAAAAATGTTCGTTGATAATCCTAGTAGTACAAATCTACTTGGCCGACTCCTCAATTATTGGAATATCAAATGTATGAGGCAGATCGATGCCATGATGCTGCACATTTCGTAGGACTGTCTTCCAACGACTCCCGTTGACCAATGATTTGCCCAAATTATCTGTGGTGTTGTGGCACAGATGCGTCATGGGTTCTGTGTGACCAGGTATTTAGTATGTACCCACATCAGACCGTGGGGCGTGCTTATGCGATCACAAAGATGACTGTCAGATACGATTTGGGTTGCCTTTACAAAAAATACGCTTAACAAATTAATCGGCACCTTTTTGATATAATATGAGAAAGTACTCAAGACTTTTACAAAAAGCTTAAATTTCAGTCATGCTAAATTAGCTAAGGGTTATCTTCAATGTACAATATATTAGGCACCAACTAAAATGTGTTATACATACACAGTTAAATTATATCACTTTCGCCGCCAGCAAAGGAATATGTTGAATAAAGTAGATCTGAACAACGGCTGCGACACGGCATACGATATTGGGTTGAGGAGGCTGTTAAGAAACGGCATCCATCCAATGAACAGTATAGCTGTTCGTGGTAGTCCTGGTACAACGAGCACGGGTTCGATGGAATAAATGAGCTTGGTGATGCTCTGTGGTAGCCACGACACAAAGAAAGCGATAACGATGAGCAGGAGTGTTCTGGTAGCCTTGTGCATTTCGGTGGCAGTTTCGCGCTTCATCTGAGAGACATTAAAAAAAAATCAAAACCATACTTGAAATTAAATAGGACTATATTTAGATACTTGGATTCAATTGCTAATCCGCACATGATAGCGCACACAATCCGCTCCCTGGGAAGTATTCAGGCTAGGTGCCATTTTAAAGGCGCTCACGTGCCTAAGAAAAAGAGGATCATGGGGGACCAACAGGCACCGATTGGGGAAGTTTTCTATATAGAGGGAGCAAGAAGCTACAAGTAGGACAGTGGGACTTTAAAAGAAGTGTCAATTCTAAACTGCAGATTGGTTTCCTTTTCAAATGAAAGTGACAATCTGTGTAAAAGCTGCAATTGGTCCATCGTAAACTTTATGAAATAGATGAAATTTACTAAACTTATTAAATTGAACATTGTAAAATGCTCTGCTGTTTAATCGAATAACATATTCGTCCACGTCAGAATAATGATGATTTTAAAGATAACTAACCCCAAAGAATAACTTTGGTTGTTCTGAGAGGTTTATTGCATTCTTGCCAATCAATCTAATATAATATCGAATGAAAAATTAGTCCGCGTCAAAATAATGATTATAATAATAATAATAATATTTCGTTCTTATATAGCGCTTTTCAGGACCGCGGGCCCTCTCAAAGCGGTTTACAGATATATATTATTACTCCGGTCATCGGATGCATGCTTACCCGCACACAATGTATGCACATTCTCCACTCCCTGGAGAGCATTCGAGCCAGGCGTCATTTTAACAAGCGCACACTTGCTAATCTCACCACATTAGCTTGCGCATTCTACCGGGTACCCAATTAACACCTGGATGGAGAGTGGCAAATGTAGATCAATGTTTTGCCAAAGGACATTGTGACGTCACTATAAAACAAAGTCTCGTCGTGAGCAATGCTTGTATAGCGTCATGCTTATTTAAAATATGAAGTATTGGATAAAGGACAAGAGGGCAAAACTATCAAGCAAGCAACAAAGGAAAGTATTTACAAATATGCCAAAGTTTGTCTTAGTGTCTAATTCATTTCTTAAAGAACCCCCTGCCAAGATTTGTTTGAAATCTAATGGATTGATTTGAGGATAGTGTATCTGAGTTTGCAACGGCTTTGCTATAACGTATGAAATACTGAAATAAATCAATGCTTTTAAATTCCCTGTTGTCTCATCGCTGTAAACATGGTAAACGGTAATACAAAATACTTACTGTTGTTTTCTTTGCATTATTCGCAGCATTGCCGTTCTTCATCATTAGACCCTGGTCAAAATTATCGGATGATAGGTCGACATTTATGGTTGCAGTACTGGCTGCCCTAGTCATGTCATCGTGAGGTAACTCTGACGTGATTTTTCCCTTGTGAGCATTTTTCATAGCAAACTGTTTTTCGACATTCTTACCGCCAAGAGTAGCCTGGATCTTAGCAACGATTCTAAAATAGAGTACAGTGATGATAGTAAATGGTAAAAAGAAGAGAGCGATGAACGGGATGATACCAGGTAATGGTCTTAAAGTGTACCAGGGAACACAGTGACGACCGTTGTCGAAATCGATGATGAATTCGGGTATGGTGTTATAGAGAAACCAAAAGACAACTGACACAATCCATGGGATGAGGTTTTTGATGACGGCCATTCGTTTGCTTCGTGACATGAAGTGGTTGATAGGATCGTAAGTAGCTCGATGTCGATCAGCGCAGATCAAGACCACGGCAAGGTTGGATGCGTTGACAATGCCCCAACGGATAGCAGAATTCACCTTACAGATATCTTGCGAGAACGGGTAGTACCCAATGTATGTATGAACCACCTTAGGAATGAGTAACAACCCTGTCATGAAGTCCAGAATGGTCAGGTTGATGATAAAGTAGTTGTTGTAAGTGCGAAGTCGTTTCTCGATGCAGAAGGCTACGAGACTCAGAAAGTTGGCAACGATGATGAGGACTGTGAAAAGGATAGGCCACAGGATCCCGTGGATGTTTACCGAGCGAGTTTTCTGCTCAGTAATTGTGGTCTCAGATAAATTCTCCGTCGAATTCGCAAAATAATTCTCAAATGACATAGTCGAATAGAATGTCGGTTCTGAAACATTCTGAATCTTAGCACCCGCCATATCAAAGTCTAAATATTGTGAAATTAAATTGAAATACTGCACGAAATGAGACGAAATCCAAAAATAATAACGAATAATCTCTTCTGTGGAGCATGCAGGGGATTATATATGCAAAACCTTCTTGTTTTCTGCAGGTATGAGAAATGCCGGAAAAAAATATCACAAATTAAAATTGATATGCAGAAGGTCGCCAAAAAAAATCTATAATGGCATTGGTTAGGCAGATCTTTAGAGGAAGGTATAATGGTTATTATAAATGTTAAGCGTGCAGTCGATAATATTGGATTCTATTGTTATGCGCTGCACTTATGCGATGGTGCTTGTGATTTTGAGAAGAGCCATTAGATAATTCAATTGGGTGCTTTGTGGAAGCATGGAAATCAGAAAAAAGCAGATCGTTAGAGTGTTTCTTATCAAAATCCAAGGCTCTGAACGAATGTGTATAGGGACAAAGTGCACTTACATTGAGGATCCGAATCCTGACCTCCTCCCTGTGTTATTGATTGTATGCGTGGATGATTGTGGTAGTTTATCATTGGTGATTTGTCAGTTTTGTATATAGTGTAAGTGTAAATTTGAAATATTTTCCTTCTTTTCATTTATGTACACAGTTTGATTATAATAATGTACTGAGGTAACTTTTCAACCACAAGCGTTTGCTCTTTTTTTGGTTCCTCTTTTTTCTTTATCTACTATGTTACTGTACATGAATTGTATTTGTAATTGTATATGATGTAAATTTTATAATGATTTGGAAAAATAAAACAATGAATTAAAATTGAATTGAATTGAAGTTTAGCCATGAATTGAATCAACTTTCATACGAGAAGATTAGAAGCATACAAGCGTTTTCTAAATATGCAAATGCACCTTAAACGTCTGATGCTATATCTGTTTAGAAAGAAAAAAAATAACGGGAAAACATCGTAGTGTTGAGGAGGGGGAACTTGTTTTTTTGTCATAAGTGTATGGGAACGATTTCGCCTTTTTTTTTTTACCGATTATTAATTATCTAGTCTGTACATTTATTTTTAATAATTTTGTCTTGATCTTTTTTTGTGCAGTGTTAAATTGATTTCGTCATCAAAATATCGTTGATAGAACTTTAAAGTTGCTCAAGCCTGGGTATATAGAGGGCAGCATACGGACGTACGATACCTATACCATCTTGCGAACTATTTACGCACGGGAGCGTAATAACCGTTGGCTCAGTGTTATGAAGTGATCGCCAACTTGCCTGCTTCACGAGCGACCGAGTCTAGTCGTGCGTGCCCGATTTATCCCGAGCTTCGATTGACTGTTTGTAATTTAGTTTTTAAATATGAAATTTATTGATATGTTATTAATTTACTAAGTTTAAAAATGCACAATATGATAGTTTTGTAAAAAAAAATTATTTACAATTTGATCTTGCAAGTTTTATTTGATATTTGATGGGAATTTGAAGATTATATTATGTATTATGGTCAATGTCCAATTATCTGTCGTGTTGTGGCACAGATGCGTCGTGGGTTCGTTGTGACCAGACGGTTAGGATGTACCCACGTCAGACCGTGTGGTTTGCATACGCGATGACAAAGATGACTGTCAGATACGATTTGGATTACCTTTTAGAAAATTACGCTGAACAAATTAATCGGCATCTTTAAAAAAATATAATATGAGAAAGTACTCAAGACTTCTACAAATAGCTTCAAATTCTGTCCCTCTAAAGTAGCCAAGGATAATCTTCAATGTACAATATAATAGTTACCAACTAAGATGTGTAATACATACAAAATTGAATTATATCACTTTCGCCGCCAGCAAACGAACATGTTGAATATAGTAGATCTAAACAACGGTTGCGACACGGCATACGATATCGGGTTGAGGAGGCTGTTGAGAAACGGCATCCATCCAATGAACAGTATAGCTGGTCGCGGAAGTCCTGGTACAACGAGCACGGGTTTGATGGAATAAATGAGCATGGTGATGCTCTGCGGTAGCCACGACACTAAGAAAGCGATAACGATGAGCAGGAGTGTTCTGGTAGCTTTGTGCATTTCGGTGGCAGTTTCGCGTTTCATCTGAGAGACATTTAAAGAAAATCAATAACATGATTAAAATTTATCGGACTACATTTAGATATTTGGATTCAATTGCTAATTGGCACATGATAGTGCACACAATCCGCTCCCTGGGGAGTATTCAGGCTAGGCGCCATTTCAAAGGCGCTCACATGCCTGTCCAACCACATTAACGTACGCATCCTATTTGGGTACCCATTTGTTTATCTGTTTTATCCGACTGCTAAGAAAGTATTTGTATCTTCTTCTTCCTTTTTAAGTACAGACCTCTTTACAGAGTATTATCGTACTATACTGGGGGTGTGTGCAGGTGGACCACTACACCGGGGTTTTTCCCTACTCTTATACGAATAGTGCAGTGGGTTCTTAACGTGAAAAGGTAGTGACTCTTCTCTACACGGGGCCTCCATTTAACGTCCTATCCGAGGGACAGAGTGTTTTCCACTGAACATAAACAACTATGTAAGTAAACAACTATGTCAAAGAAGAATGGTACCTGACCAAATGGCATTTGCGCATCGACTTGGTCTTTGACCAGCGACCTCCTGGTTACAAATCCACTGCCCTACCACTGAGCCATCGGCCCTCCTTAACACCTCTGTGGAAAGTGGGAAATGTAGATTAATGCCTATCGAAAGGACATTAGTGCCGCGCTGGGACTTGAACTGCGTCCATTGAAATATCCACTAGACCAAAACACCTCAACTTTCCGGTAGTATTAGTTGTAACAATGAACAAATTTGAAATCTGTGAACAACAGTTCTTTTTTAATTAGTTTTTCAATCATAACAATACTAAATTTCTAATCATGACGAGGATGATGATGATGATCATCATCACATGGTCTTATATATATATATATATTGTAAAAAGAAATGTCAATTCTAAAAATGTGGATTGGTTCCCTTTTCAAATGAAAGTGAGAAATTTTATGAAAGTTGCTATTGGTCCATCGTAAACTCTATAAAAAAATAGATGTAATTAACAAAACTTATGACATTGAACATCGTAAACTGTTCTGCAGTTTAATCGAATAACATATTCGTCCGCGTCAGAATAATGATGCATTGATAACATCACTCTATAAAATAGATGAAATTAACTAAACTTATGAGATTGAACATCGTAAACTGTTCTGCAGTTTAATCGAATAACATATTCGTCAGGGTCAGAATAATGATGCTTTGAAAACGTCACCATAAAACAAAGTCAGATCGTGAGCAATGCTTGTAGTATCATGCTTATTTAAAATATGAAGTATTGGATAAAGATGAAGGATAAGAGGGCAAAACTATCAAGCAAGCAACAAAGGAAACTATTAACTAATATGCCAAAGTTTGTCTTAGTGTCTAGTCAAATTCTTAAAGAACAACCTGTCACGATTTGTTTGAAATCTAATTTATTGATTTAAAGATAGTGTATCCGAGTTTGGAACGGCTTTGCTATGACGTATGAAATACTAAAAGAAATCAATGCTTTTAAATACCTGTTGTCTCATCGCTTTAAACATGGTAAACGGTGATACAAATACTTACTGTTGTTTTCTTCGCATTATTCGCAGCATTGTCGTTCTTCATCTTAGGACCTTGGTCAAGATGATCGGATGAGAGGTCGACATTGATGGTTGCAGTACTGACTGCAGACGTCATGTCATCGTGAGGTAACTCCGCTGTGATCTTTCCCTTGTTTGCATCTTTCATAGCAAACTGTTTTTCGACATTCTTACCGCCAAGAGTAGCCTGGATCTTAGCAACGATTCTAAAATAGAGTACAGCGATTATGGTAAATGGTAAAAAGAAGAGAGCGATGAACGGGATGATACCAGGTAATGGTCTTAAAGTGTACCAGGGAACACAGTGACGACCGTTGTCGAAATCGATGATGAATTCGGGTATGGTGTTATAGAGAAACCAAAAGACAACTGACACAATCCATGGGATGAGGTTTTTGATGATGGCCATTCGTTTGCTTCGTGACATGAAGTGATTGATAGGATCGTAAGTAGCTCGATGTCGATCAGCGCAGATCAAGACCACGGCAAGGTTGGATGCGTTGACAATGCCCCAACGGATAGCAGAATTCACCTTACAGATATCTTGCGAGAACGGGTAGTACCCAATGTATGTATGAACCACCTTAGGAATGAGTAACAACCCTGTCATGAAGTCCAGAATGGCCAGGTTGATGATAAAGTAGTTGTTGTAAGTGCGAAGTCGTTTCTCGATGCAGAAGGCTACGAGACTCAGAAAGTTGGCAACGATGATGAGGACTGTGAAAAGGATAGGCCACAGGATCCCGTGGATGTTTACCGAGCGAGTTTTCTGCTCAGTAATTGTGGTCTCAGATAAATTCTCCGTCGAATTCGCAAAATAATTCTCAAATGACATAGTCGAATAGAATGTCGGTTCTGAAACATTCTGAATCTTAGCACCCGCCATATCAAAGTCTAAATATTGTGAAATTAAATTGAAATAATGCACGAAATGAGACGAAATCCAAAAAGAATAACGAATAATCTCTTCTGCGGAGCATGCAGGGGATTATATATGCAAAACCTTCTTGTTTACTGCAGGTATGAGAAATGCCGAAAAAAAAATATCACAAATAAACATTGATATGTAGAAGGTCGCGAAAAAAATTCTCTAATGGCATTGACTAGGAAAATCTTTAGAGGAAGGTATAATGGTTATTTTAAATGGTAAGCGTTCAGTCGATAATGTTGGATTCTATTGTTATGCGCCACACTAATGCGATGGTGCTTGTGATTTTGAGAAGAGCCATTAGATAATTCCATCGGGTGCTTTGTGGAAGCATGGAAATCAGAAAAAAGCAGATCGGTAGAGTGTTTCTTATCAAAATTCAAGGCCCTGAACGAATGTGTATAGGGACAAAGTGCACTTACATTGAGGATCCGAATCCTGACCTCCTCCC